CCACTGACTCTTCACAGACTCATCTTTGGGTTGGGAAAATAACACTAACTTCCCTCACACTACAGAGCACAGTGTCTTCGTGGCATGATTCAACCGGGAACTGCTACAGTGTTTGTCTTCCTCCTTTTCTTTCGACATTGTTTGTGGGCGGGGCCGGGGGGTTCAATTTTCCCAGAGTTTTTACTGCTGCAATTTATTCGAACCACTCTGAGTCGACTCTAGTATAGATGAATCAATAATTTCAAACACGGTGCACTTTCAGATTTAAGCCTTAAGGCTCCAACACACCAGGACGTTTTTAGTTTGCGTTTATCGTCAGTGTTTTACGAGATGTTTTTCAGTGTTCAAACCAAAGCGCTTTTCACTGGCGTCAAGCAGAAGAGTATGCTAAATCACTCTTTTGACGTTAGATGGCGCTGCACAACTATAAGCTTCTGACACCAGCTTATAACACAGAAGAAGAGGAAGAGAGGAAGTTCACATACTTGTTGTTTAAGTTACTGGTGACTCGAACAAGCATGGATGGTTCAAGTAGCAGCTCCAGCTGAAGAAATGATTATTGTTTACAGAGCAATAAGCAGCTCCACGTTCATATCGCCTCTGGGCATCTTCAATGTGCGCTCGCATTGACAGTTTTGCACTTGAGCGCCTCCAAGTGATGTTTACGGTAACTTCAGCAGCTCCGTGCACGTGAACAAAAGTGCCGATCTGATTGGTGGAGAAGGTTTTGACGCCGCGCCTCAAAACAAAAAAAAAACGAGCATGAGGCGTTTTTTTTTTCAAATGATGCTTTTGCGCCTTGTGTTTTCCACGTTGGTGTGCACGATCACATTGACACCCTTTATTTAGTCACGAGGCATTAAACGTCAACGGAAAACGCGAGCAAAAAACGTCTCGGTGTGCATGAGCCTTTAGCTGGATACTTCACTTCACACACCATGTGTTACCCATGTGTTAGGTAATTTTCAAAACCCATAATAGGGGCTCTTAAAAACAATTTGCCTTAGTAATGTTGGTATCCTTAAAGATTTCCAATAATTATCGATACCGAATGATGTGAAGCATTAAATCGTTAGCATTTTTTGCTGTGTCGCCAACCCCTATGTGTGTTAGCATGTTAATGACATGTCCTGCTTCTCTCTCAGGTGAGGAACATCGCAGTCAGTCACACCTTCAAGATCGAGAAGGCTCAGCGTGATCTGGGCTTCAGTCCTCAGAGATTCAGCCTGAAGGATTCGGTGGATCAGTATCTGCAGAGTCGACCGGTGCGCTCTGCCTCGTCCTTCAGCGCACAACACCTGATGCTGCTGCTGCTGATCTGCGGGTTCTTCGCTCTCTTCATGCACTGCTTAGCCTGAAAATGGCAAGCCTCACGTACAAACAAAAGCTAGCTGAGTTTCAGTTAAAAGGGGCCAGTTATGCAAAAATCACTTTTATAAGGGGTTTAGGCACAGTTGTGCAGAAATACTCTGTGAATATAACCAGCTTCTAATGCTAAAAATTTATTAATTATATTTTGTATAATCACACTTGATATTAACAATCTGCAGAAACAATTTGATTTACATCCTCCCTTTCTACATGTCATCAGAGGAGAAAAACCCCGCCCACTAGTGACCATCTCTCCCTCATAAGCATAGGATGTTAGTCTTTGAATCTGTAGCTATGCTGACACATAGGGATTTGTAGCTCCGCCCTCTTTTGAAAACAGCACAATCTCATTTGAATTTAAAGCGACAGTCACCAAAATGGCACAATTAGGATCAAAGCCTAAAAGGGGCAGTTTCAAAAAGTTATAACACATTATATGTGTGGTATTTTGAGCTGAAACTTCACATACACACTCTGGGGCAGGCACGTGCACACATAGGGCTCAACCTGTGCAGTGCACATGCCCTTTATAGTCTTGGATAGAAAGTGCCCTTCCAAAATGATCAAAAGTGCCCCTGCGACGCGGCACACCTTCGGTCCCACCCTTCAGTAGGCGCGCGACAACACCGCTCTTGAGTCTGCGCGCGACAACACAGCTGATCAGTACGCGCGCGATAACACCGCTCTTCAGTACGCGCGCATCCACTCTGCAGATCTGCACCTTGTGAAAAGGGGCATACTAGGTCCCCTTTAGGTCTGTTTTTTTAGAAACTTCACAATCTCCTTTTTGTTGAATGTCATACTTGATGACTCTGTTGACTGATATACGTCACTTCCTTGGCAAAGGAATGCTAAAAATGAGTTCTCGAGGGACTGCCCTGGTGGCTAGTTCCTGATTCCTTCTGATTATTCTTAAAGGGCTAGTTCACTCCAAAGATCTAAGTTCTGTCACGTAGTTATCAGGGCCGCCGCATCCATAGAAGCGACCTAGGTGGCAGAATAGTGAAGGCGGCGTCCGTGACCCAACGTTTTCGTCTTCACTTACGGGTTGAGGGCAGCGTGATCGTTCTTTGCTTAGTTCAGCTTGCTCCAGCCCTGGTAGTCATTCTCAACCACTTGACATGATACGTCACACTTCACTTAATATAGTGGCCGTGTTTATGTACACTAATAATCTTGAATCAAAACTTAAACTATTCGTTCAGCAACATCTCTGCCCGTCTCTGATTGGTGCTTACTGGTGTGTGTGCAGGGCTGACCTGCCACTCATGTCAGATCAACTAAAAGCAAACCACAATCATCCAATCAATCCCTCAAGTCCAGTTATTCCATAGTTTGTTTTACTTTTATGTATGCTTTCTGGAGTTACAATTCACTGTTCTCTTTTTTATTTTTGCGCACAAAATTGTGTACAATTATTACGTTTTATTATTGTGTCCTGTTATAATGGTGCATATAAATATAAACTATAATCAAAAACACAAGACGTTTCCTTGTGTTTTAAATGTAATAATGTTGGTTTGAGATGATTGATGGACGTTCGTGTAAATGTGAAATATAACTTCCTGGAAACTGTATCCAATTTTCAAAACTGTGACTGAATGAGGAATCAATTGCTAATTGATGTCCTTTAATATTATGCTAGTACTTAGACATTAATTCATGTATTTATTTATATCAATTAATAAATATTTCTTTAAATAATTGTTTATTAATTTATTTCTATTAATTAATTATTCATTCATTCGAATTAACTAATTAATGTTCATTAATTTAATTGTTTTAAATTATTTTAAGTCTGCACCTGATCTACATTAAGCATGGTGTTTGTGATGCCGGAAAAGTTGATGAACTCGGTGTGTACAGTATTTTGGGTGTAAGTGAGCAGATTGTTCCACAAGTCTTCCACAGAGCGTGTATTAATATTCATTGTAGGGGTTTCTCACATTCATACTATAAGAAATAGAGTTATATTTGTCCTAATGATCCAGGATACATGTCATACATGTCATTAATCAGATTTGAATATACAGACATATTCATATTAATGTTTAGTTAGAGAAAAGACAGACACTATAGATAGACAGACAGACACAGTAAAATAAATGAGAAGGTCATTTCATCTTAGTGTTATCAATGAAGTTTGCAGAATCACTTGAAGAGCCCTGTATGAACTGATGGAGTGTGTTTGGGGAATATGAGTGAGATTATTGGAGTTAATATGCTTTCAGGTATTACATTGGAGTTATGTTGACATTTCAGAAGTGACATGAATTTATATATACGGATGGCATAGATGCAATAGAAGAGTGTGTTTAGAAAAATATAGATGTAGATGGTTGATGGTGGTGTCATCTGTTAATGGCAATGTTAGTCTGTGTATCATGCTTCAGTGAACCAAATTTATATATTTAATTCAATTACATCTAATTAACCAAACATATTGAAATGTTCAGTGTTTTGAGGGATATTGAGTGTTTTCTGACCTGCAGTAATCTATATTTCAACGTAATTTTGAAAGATGACCTGTTTTTGTATAAAGCAAACGATGACAAGTTTGCGTTCTTGCAGTAATAAATGAAGAACTGTGAAAGATGGCGTTAATTTAAATGTTTAAATTCCATGTTCAAGCAACGGTGTCTTTTAAAACACAAAACTATGAGTAGAATTTAATTTACTTTTAGGCTAAATGTAGATAATACCTATATTTTAGAAAACTCTTGTAAAGTGTAAAGGCTTTTAATCTAATTAATGCATATTAAATCTCTTTAACGTTAGGCCACTGAGTGACTGATGTTGTTGGTTTGCACAGTTCTGACGTTCGTTTTCAAACCGTCTGCTAGTTATTATAATGTCTGAGGTTTGCTAGCTTATGTCAATAAATGTCAAACGGTGTTCAAACTCAAATTGGTAGCATTTAACTCTGAATAAAGCTGAAGTGTGCCTGTACCTGAGGTGATCAGTTGTAGTGTTGTTGTGCCGCGACATCGCTGAAATAAAAATCGTTTCTAAAATAGAAATTTCGCGCGTCTTTAACATTGGCGCGGTTAGGCGTTCACAATGGTACGATCCATAATAGGGGTGGTGACATGTATAATTTATATTCTCTGTTATTTTACTCAATTATTATTAGTTGAGATAAATATTGGAAAAATCTATTTCTCACTGACCCCGCATAAATGTTGTTTTGACGTCCTTCAGGGGATCAAGTGTTGATTTTGTTGATCAAGTGTGGATAAAATCCCCCTGTACTGTTTTCCCCCCAGTGTCTATAAAGGTTAATGTATGCCATTGAAATGTTTTATATTCTGAATCTGTACGTTTGATGGCACATGCAGACGGGTGTAATTGTTGGTTTTGTCCCACTTGTGTTTTCTGTAAGACTTTGCATGTTGTTTTATGTTGTTTGTCATGTAAGCTACAACTGTTGTTAAGTGTTTAGTGGTTATAAATTAATTAATTGTTGTGATTCCTTGTGCTTTATTATAATATGATGTCTATGAACATTTTTTCCACACTAAAGTGGTTCCAAATGCGTCTTTCTAGATAATCAGAATGTTAAGCCATTGATTTCCATATAATATAACATTTTTCAGTATATCTTCCTTCGTGCTCAACTGAAGAAGAAACAATGGGTGTTTTTGAACATCTAGATCAGGGATGTCAAACAATTCCTGAAAGGTCGCAGCCCCGCACAGTTCAGTTCCAGCCCTGCTTCAACACATGCCTGTAGGTTTCAAACCAGACTACAGCACTCAATTAGTTTGATCGGGTGTGTTTAAATCACTAAATACTAGTCATTAGTTACTTATAAGCCCCTGTGCAGGGCTGCGCCCCTCCAGGAATTGAGTTTGACATCCCTGATCCAGAGGATTAAATGACTTTCATTTCATCAACTAATATTTCCTTCAATGTACCACAAGAGGGCGCCACAAGTCATAAAATATCGCAGAAATTAATAATGTGGCAATGTATTTTATTATGGTTTTGTCAAAACAGAAGTTAAAACGATATTATTATAACAATAAACTTTCTTCTTATATCAAATAGAAATGGCTTAATTTGTAAAAATAATAATAATAATAAAATAAATAAATAAAAAAAAGCCTTTATGCTTGCTTGAAGCTGATTTAGAAAATGGTTAATGTGACTAATTGGAGATGGAAACACAATTGTGGAATGGATCCGGGTTTCTCAGTAGCGGAAGTCATCATAGCTGGATAAACTTAGAGAGCAGTGCATGGAAGAGTACAACAGATCATTTTTGTATAATCCTATTTGCTGAAATAGCAAAAGAAAAAACTCCATGATGGTGTTATCAAGACTTTCAAAAGAAGAGAAAAAAATAAACAGAGAATAATGTCAGATTTCCTGTCCTGACCCTTATACGCTGCATTAGAGATGCTTTGCATAAGCAGTAATTCATTCATTAATTTTCTTTTCAGCTTAGTACCTTTACTAATCTGAGGTCACCAAAGTGGGATAAATTTGTCCATTGTGTTTTTACGCAGCGGATGCTGTTTTAGCTGCAACCCATAACTGGGAAACATCCATACACAGAGATTTGCACACATACACTACAGACAATTTAGCTTACCCAATTCACCCGTACAGCATGTCTATGGACTGTGGGGGAAACTGGAGCAACCAGAGGAAACCCAGGGAGAACATGCAAACTCCACACAGAAATGCCAAATTACCCAGCCGATGCTCAAACCAGTGACCTTCTTGCTGTGAGGCGATTGTGCTACTCTCTGAGCCATTGTGACGCCCCCAAGCAGTTATTTGTGTTTTGTATTTTTATGCAAAGATGATTCATAAATAGATGTTCATACATTTTTTTATTCAAATATTAAAAGCTTAATACGTAATGCTAGACACTGATGACCATTAAACGTGTCATAACAGTTTTGTGAAAAGGGAAACTCTGACATAGCGAACATTAAACTCACCTGACAAATCAGCAGTCTCCATTATACTTGCCTTGTTTACCGCTGGTTGCTAGGTTACCAATACACATGTCAGCTGCTCTAACATTCATTCATACAAGTATTTTCTTTTTCGGCTTAGTCCTTTTATTAATCCGGGGTCGCCACAGCGGATTGAGTGCCAACTTATCCACAGCAAGTTTTTACGCAGCGGATACCCTTTCAGCTGCAACCCATCTCTGGGAAACATCCACACACACACTCATACACTACGGACAATTTAGCCTACCCAATTCACCTGTACAGCATGTCTTTGAACTGTGGGGGAAACCAGAGCACCCGGAGGGAGAATATGCAAACTCCACACAGAAATGCCAACTGAGCCGAGGCTCGAACCAG